TGGTGCTAAAAGGGTGAAGACAATGTGTAGAAGCTAAGAAGCTATCTCAGCACCATTCGCTCCTAAGTGTTCGAAATGAGAAGTCAGAAGATCGATTGATGCGGATTGCCTAGAAGACGGCCATTTTTATAAAGTGTCAGGCGCTTTCCCTTCTTTTCAATCTATCCTGCTGCTGCTGCTGGTCTTGGTGGAGACAGTACTGCCAGGCAGAGAAAGAGAGAAGTGGCCGCGGCGAAGTGATAACCCACCGACCACCAGCAGCAGCAGCACTCTTCGTCGGTTCAAATGCGACTGCTCAGCGCTCACAGGACTGATAGGATGTTGCACTCGGCCGGTGTGTGCTGGTGCTACTTCTTCTGCTGCTGCTGTGGTTGCTGTACTGAAGTCGGTTCAGAAGGCGCTGGTGGTGGTGTTGGTAAACAGCTGCTGCTGCCAGTACTGTGTTTGTTCGAAGTAGTGTAGTGTATGTTCTGATGCACCCAGCGACAGCCACCACCAAAGTACTGAGGTTCGCCTGTTGGTGTCTGTTTTAAAGACTGCTCTCCTGCTGAAGAGTAGGAGGATGATGAGGTTTGCCGATGATGCTGCTGATGAAAATGAAGACGATGCAGTGGTGAGAGAAAGACGCAAACAAAAGTTGAGACAATTTGGCGATTAGGCAATAGGCAACAGGCAGCAGCAGCAGCGGCTTCTGTCCTCGCGGCAGTGGCGGTGATGCGCTTCTACTGCGCGATGATAATGCCCCTTAAGATGCCGCTGAGAAGAAGGTGAAAGTGATAAAGCACGAATGAACGAACGAAGGAACGATGAAGAAGAAGAAGAAGAAGAAGCGGTGGTGGTGGCGGTGGCGGCGGTGCTGCAGGCATTGAAACATGGCCACACGAGACTGCCTGCTTCGCTGAATGGCTGACTGACAGGTCGTTGCATCGCCACGAGCAGACGAAAGCGAAGAGGGCGCTAAGGAGTGATGAAATTAGTGTCATGTCCACTGGGGGTGGTGATGAAGTGTGCTGATACTGCTGATGATTGGAGAGGGGGAAGGGGAGGTGATGATGGTGGTGCCATAGTGCCACTGCCTGCCCTGGCAACAGATCTAGGTCCGCCATTATGGTGGTCAAGGATTTGCCGCCCATGAACGATGACCTTCTTTGGATGAGGCGGCTTTTCTTCTTCTTCTTTATTCGGAATGCTCATTTGCACTTTTGAAGGTGAAGAAGCTCCGTTGGTCATCATTGTGTTTCAGATGAGTCCTGAATTTCCTTTTCGGTTGATTGGTGAACAATTTAAAACGAATTCTTCTTCTTCCTTTTCAGTCCGATTAGATAAGGGCGGGGAACGTTTCTTCTCGTGCTTCTTCAACTTGAAATGTACGTACGCTGTGCAGCAGACCGAACGATGTAAATTGGAGGAAGGCGATAGAACACCACCGCTACCCGAGAGTGTGTCGTTCAGGATCATGACGTCGACAGCAGCATTGGCGGCGGAGCTATCTCAACGGTCTGGTTTTATCTCCAAAGATTCGCAGGAACGTATTCACCACCACCACCAGTAAATGTCCTCAGTGTCCACTGTTCAGTGCCACTGTGANATCGTTCATGATCATGACGTCGACAGCAGCATTGGCGGCGGAGTTATCTCAACGGTCTGGTTTTATCTCCAAAGATTCGCAGGAACGTATTCACCATCACCAGTAAATGTCCTCAGTGTCCACTGTTCAGTGCCACTGTGAAACACATGTACACAGCAATCGGTTGTGCCAGCCAGCAAGAAAGCAAGTAAGCCACCATTTAGTGGTAATGGTGCCGATGAGTACAGCTCGCCTGATGCTGATGAACAAATTAGGATGAGGTGCGAGTGAGTGAGTGCGCGCGTCTTATCGCCTGTAATTGACTTTCAAATCATCACCACCACCGCCGACGCTGCAGCTGCCGATGGTCTAATTAGTCGGAAAATTGCTTTGTCCTTCACTCCTTCGGAGACAGACAGACAGACATGATGCTTGGGTGCAGAAATAGTACACCGAAGATGATCACCAGAAGATGAGCTTCGTTTTCGTCTTCTTTCGTAAGACGCTCGCTCGCTCGCGCGCGCAATCGTTTCAAGCGGCTTGAAGAAGGCTTGCCTGCCGAGCTAACGGGATCACCAACACACTGCAGTGGTGTGTGGCTACTTCAGCGCGGGTACTTTTGGGCGATTAGATTTCACTGTCAGCAAGTGATAAGCAGAAGATTGTCGCCTGATCGCTGAAGTAGAAAGGGGAAAGAGTGGGCCACAAAGGTCAAAGGCCAATGCCAACCAGGAAAGAGAGGGACACTTCTGGTTCAAGTGAACTACCGGAGAAGTCCAAAAACCAAAATATTTTCGGTCTGAGAGGGGGGTAGCATTAGACCAGTCGCGGCGAGCTCTGTCGAAATGGCCGGATAGAGGCTGCTGCCTGCCTGCTGTTAGGCTCTCCGTTTCCGAGTCAGAACGATGAGCCAGTGGTGGCTTTCACAGTGCCTCAGAGGGCAGCACCGTCTAGCAGAGCGAAGGTAAAGCCTTGCTCGCCGCGGGTGGCCGGAGAAGAGGCTCCTCGCTCGCCTTTGCACTGATTTGTGTGCTCACGCTGCAGCAGTGGCAGCAAGCCCACTCACCGCTTTGTCTTCTGTTTTGCCGATACACAAGACTTACTGGAGAAGAGAGCCAAGACACGCCACGACGGCTGCATTTCCGCTTCGATTTAGAGCACTTCCATTCGGAGTACCACCAGCACCAGCACCACCAGCAAGGAAGCGTCTTGCCAGCGACAACCGGTGAAGATGAACCAGCACGGCCAATCGAGCATGGCACCGGCCGCCTTTCAGGAGGCACTGGAACGTGCCCGAGAGGTACTGTTACAAAAAGCCTTCTGTTTGTCTGTTTTCTCTTTTTACCAACAACTTTTCCTCAAACTTGTAGCTCGCCGCTAAGATGGGCGCCCCTTCCGGCGGCGGCGGTGCGTCCAGTATTACGCCTGGTGGTGGTGGAAACAAGCGCTCATTTGATGATGATGATGATGACGGTAAGTCTGGGGCATCACATCTTTTGCTTCCAATATCATTTTCAGACACAGCATTTTATACTCTGGAGAAGGGCACCACTTTTCACATTGAGCTTCTCCAACTTAAAGTGCTAAAATTAAAGTTCATAGAGATTCGCTGACACCAGCCTGATATCGATAGGCGGAGTTTGATAGTAGACTTTATAACAGACCCTTTTCCATTTCAGATTATCATCATGAATCGAATAAACGAGCTTCGTATGATCGTAAGTTGCAGCTCATGCTTGCCACGGTGTTTCCCTCAAACTAACAGCTCACTTTTTTTGCCTAACTTTAGAAATTGGATCTCAACTTACAGCTACGAGGAATTTCTCAAACAACCGTCCTCAGAAAACTGAGCTCTACCTGGAGGGAATTGTCTGTGATGGAGAAAAGACCCTCGACAAGATGATTCCCGGCAACAAGGTGGGCTTCATCATTGGCAAGGGTGGAGCGGGCATTCGTGGTCTTCAGGAGAAGGCCGGCGTGAAGATGGTCATCTTTCAAGAGTCAGCTCAAGCGAACACCGAAGAGAAGCAGCTTCGCATTACCGGGCCTCCTGATCGGGTGGATTACGCGAAGAAGCTGGTCGAAGACATGCTCAACGAACGGGACGACAGCTCTCGAATGAGGCGAGATAATTTTGGCGGAGGACCTGGTGGTGGTGGCGGCGGTGGAGGCGGCGGTGGTGGTTGGGATCGAGACCGTGGCTTCAATGACAACCGCACCTCGGATCGCGGCAGTCGAAACCTCAACGAGTACGGCTCCGGCTCGCGACTCTCCTTCCAAGAGCTTCCAGTGTCGCCCAATGTGATTGGCATGGTCATCGGCAAGGGCGGCGAGAACATCCGCAAGATTCAGGCGGAAACGGGCTGCAAGGTGCAATTCGACACTACCAAGCTGGACGCTCAGGGAAATAAGATCTGCCAGTTCACCGGCACGCAGGAGGAGATCAGCAAGGCGATTGCCATGGTGAAGGAGCTGATTGACAACATCGGCGGCGGCGCCGGCCAGGAGGAGGTTCGCCTGATTGTCCCCGCCGCCCGAACCGGTTCGGTCATTGGCCGGGGCGGCGAGAATATTCGCCAGCTGAAGCAGCAGTCAGGCTGCAACATTGAGCTGGACAAGAACTTTCAGAATGAAAACGACGAGCGGTGCTTCATCATCCGCGGCAGCGCCGATAAGGTCGCCTACGCCCAGCAGCTGGTGACGGACAAGGTCGGGCGGCAGGAGGCGAGAGTCCTCTCCAGCACCATTCCCCAGTACGAGTATGTATTTTCTATTTTGTGTAAATACTTGCACATTTTTAACCACTTTCCTTTCCTTTATTTTCAGCCAAGACAGCCAGTACGGCTACATGAGCTCTCAGGCATACCAAAGACAGGGCGCAGCGGGCTCTTCAACCACCGACTACTACCAGGTTTTACAGGCGGCTGCGGCTGATGGTAAGTGCGCGGTTTTTTGTTACCTTCAGTTTTTAGCAGCACTGTATTAGAGCCAGACAAGCAATTCACAATATCCTGTTTGTATGGTGTCAAACTAGTGCAAAAGCATTTCGCATGTGTTTAGTCGAGAGCGGTTTCCTTCCTTCTTCGGAAGAGAGATTTGCCGTAGTTTTGCCCTTTCTCCGATCTCAACTATGATTCGTACTAATCGCCGTGAAACACACTTCTTTTTTCTACCACCTTAGGCAACTCCCAGGCATCAGTTCAGGAGCAGTACGCAATGTGGGCTGCCTACTACGCACAGTACTCGCAGGCCCAGCAACAGATGGGCAACGGGGCTGCTGAAGGGTCAGCCGCCACCGCCGGAGCTGGAGCAGCTGCTGGCTCGGCTGAGCAGAACGAAGAGGCCTACGAAAAGTGGATCGAGTACTACAAGGCCTACGGTATGGTGTTTGAGGCCGAGACTATGGAGAAGTCGCTGGCGGAGTTTCGAAAGCAGAAGAAGGTAAGTGCCGATTACCTAAGATTGAGATTGTTTGGTGACGATGTGTCTTTTTTCCAATGGTATAGAGTGACGACAACGGCAACAAGCATCACGAGGGCAGCAACAGCAAGGGTTCACATCGTGATCACCACGAGTCCTCCTCCTCCTCCTCATCACATCATCGCTCACGCCGAAATGGGGATCACAGTGATTAAGAACAGCACTCCTGTGCGTATAACACCGGAGTAATTTAGGTAAAGATTCGGTATTTGGCTTTCTTTTTTTCTTGTCTGATTTCTATTATCTACCTGCTATTTTTCTTGAATTCACTCAATTCTGATCTCGCTATTTCCATAAGGTTATATACTTAAGTATCCCATTTTTTAAACCGTAGTAGTCATCATTTTTAGCACTGTTTTATATCCACCACTTTTTTATTGTTGACCAAAAACTATCTTTTTGCCCAAACTGCCCTCCTCTGCGGTTGAAGCACTCTTGAATTTTATTTCTTTACTTCTAGTCCTGAACTGTGATAAGTTGATGAGTGAGAAGGTGAATTCCGTGAGTACCCTTGAAAATGTCGTCTTGATGAATTTGATAATTAATTTGATGAACCTTGAAATGCCTTTTTGTGTGATGATAACTATTGATAACGTTGTTTATATACTTCACATTAACTTTTTCATTCAATTATTATTCGTGATTCAGGCAGTTATCTTACGGCCGAATATTGATGATCTCGCCGATGTCGCGGAGATTTACCGATGGCTGGCCATCACACTCTTAGAGAGGTTTTCTTTGTGCAGTACTTTGCTCCATTTCAATTATTTTTATTGCCGTTTTCTTTCATATTTCCTTGTTCTGTTTTGTATTTTTCTTTTTAATATCTCTTTCTAAGCTAACTTTCTTTCTAACTCTCTATCTCTCTTTCCTTGACTGACTAACCATTTCTAAGCGCATCATTCTAGTCAAAACTAATTATTTACTTTAATCTAGCTACCTTTCGTTAACGTGTTACATAAACTGCAATT